TGTGCAAATACCAAGCTGTTTTCATTACTATAGTCTATAGTAGAGCTTAAAGTCAGGGATGGTGATGACTCCAGAAGTTTCTTTATTGTACACAATTGTTTTGACTACCCTGGGTTTTTTCCATATAAATGTGAGTATCGTTCATTAATTCACTTTTAAACTAAACTCCCTGCATGTCTGAGTAGGGAAAGGGTTGAGAGAGTAGAACAAAGGAGGGACAGCACTAAGGATGTTTGAAAAGGCTAAATGGAAAACTATAAGATTAAATATATATGTATATATTCATACAAAAATGTAGAATTGGATTTACCCCATACAAGGAATTAGCCCAGAAGCCATTTATATAAGCCTGCTATTTAAGGTAAGCAGTGTTCACTAAGGAAGCATGACACACAGCACCAGAGATTAACAATCATTATGTCTTCCTAGGTAAACAAACTGCCCCTGCTATTAAAGAGATTTTTTGTAGACAGGAAGATTTCGAACCTCATGATGAGGTAAGGTGGCCTTTCTATTACTAAAATGGAAGTGTTGCTGTCTGAATTTTATTTCATAGGAATTTGGTTATTGAATTATGACAGTGTGAGTTATACACCCTATGCTCTGATTTCTGGAATAGTAAAACAGTCCCTTGCCAATGGACACCTTGTGGGAAAGAGCATTTGTGAATGGCACAGTCAGGGAACAGAATAGATGCTATCACCTGTCCCTCTGGGAAACAATGCTTCTTCCTTGGATTAACTATTTTGTGGTTGGTGATGAATTGGGGTTAGAGATACATTATTCATGAAATGAAATGATCATGGGTTTGTTACAGATGTGTCTTATCTTTGTTTTGCCAGCCATTAATGTTGGCAGTGATCACTATGCATCTCAATACTGAGGAAGGAAGATACAGACATGTGCCTCCATGTCACATGATGTTGCCCTTATAATGTTTTTGTTTCTATAATTTCAGGGAGCCTGGGAAGAATACAAAGCCTGTAAGTATTGTTTCACTCCTTGGTGGGAAAAAATGTAAATACTAAGATAGGTATAGTGTCCCTTACTGTCTTCTCTTTGAAAGGCCACCCAACATGTTGTTTCTGGAAGGAACAAAATAGTCAACATGATTTTTTAAAGGTGTTACAGATACCCATTTACAGCTAAGTTTCTGCACAGGCTTCTGTGAGGCTGTGTGCAAAATGAATGCTAGAATTTTGTATGCTTCAATGTCTTGTGATTCTGAATGAGGTGATGGTTTATGGGGGGCATAGTACATACACACCTAAAATGAACTTTATTAGCTCTTCTGGTCTTCATAACATTTGTGCCTGGAGATTGTTATAACCCCTGCTTCAGAACAAAAATGAAGAAACCCTGATTAAAAATCATTCTCAGAAATTTAAAACATGAATGTATCTGGGCAACCCAATGTTCTTGCTTCCATGGCTGAGCCTTAAATTCACTTAAGAAAATCTGAGAAGCATTATCAGCAGGACTGAGAGTTTATCATGTGGTTCGGTGATGGGGAACATCCTTCTCTGTATATGTTTGTCTTATTGGTTGATAAATAAAGCACTGTTCAGCCAATGAGGCAGAAAGATAGGTGGGACTAGGAGTTGAGGAGGATTCTGGGAATTGTAGTAAGGAAGTATTGTGACCCAGGCAGGAAGTGACATAGCAGGCAGACTCAGACCATAAGCAGGGACAAGCAGAAGACCCTTTCTACCTCCTCCTCTTTGTGGAGCCTCCATGTGATCCCAGGAAGACAGGATGCATTCTGCTGGCATCCTCCATAATTCTTATAAAATATGAAGATTAGTAGTTATGGTTGATAATTAAGACTGAATAAGCATTGGAATTCACTTGTGGAGAAGGAGGAGGGATGAGCAAAGGAGCCAAGACAGGGCTAGAGAAACCTGCAGAAACAATTGACCTGACCTACTGATAGAATGGAGACCCTAGTCATAAAGCTGGGGAAACAGCATTGGACCAAACCAAGCCCTCTGAATGTGGGCACCAGCTAGGAGGCCAGGGCGGTCTATGGGACCTCTAAAAGTGGAGCCAGTGTTTATCCCTAGAGCAAAAATGGATTTGCAAGTCCATTCCCAATGGAGGGATACTATTGCAGCCCAGATACAGCAAGGAGGGCCTAGGCCCTCCCCTAAACAATGTGACAGACTTTGAAATTCCTTGGTGGAGGGCCTCACTATCCCTGGGGAGGAGTTGGAGAGGGTGTTAGGGGCGGTTGAGTGGGGAACATTGGAAGATGGGAGGGCAAGGGAATGGGGGGATGGATATGTAAATATGAGTAGTAATTCAAGAATTTAAATTAAAAAAAAAGACTGAGTTAGCATATAAGCAATCCTAGTCATTGGCCAGCGGCATTGTACCTAATATAAGTCTCTGTGTGTTGTTATGGGCAACCATGTGTCGAGGGGCTCCGACAACTGGCAGAAAGACTTATCATTGCATAATGGTGTCAGGACATGGATTTATGAACTTCCACATTAAACTTCACAAAAGCTTAAAAAGGGATTTTAGAATCAAAGGAACAGAGACAAGCATAACGTCTTTGTAGCATCCATTTTCTGTGGGAACACAAGGAAATACTCTTTTCCCAAGTGACCTGTCTTTATTTTTAAATTTATTTTATTTATTTTAAAAATAAAAATATGATCTTTACCAGAACACAGTCCTTCTGTGTGTGTTTAAGTTATTGATTGTTGAATAAAGTACCGTTGGCCAATAGAGGAGCAAGTTAGGCAGGACTAGGAGTCGAGGAGGATTCTGAGAAATGTAGTAGAGAACAGGAATCATCAAGTGAGCCTGGGAAGACAGGATACTTGCCACCAGCATCCGCTAAGACAAGTTTATAAAATAAATAGATTAATAATTATGGTTGATATTTAAGACAGAGATAACAAATAAGAAATCCTAGTCATTGGCCAGCAGCATTGTACCTAATGTAAGTCTCTGTGTGTTACTTGGGATTTAACATGGCAGTGGGCAGGACACGGGTGGCTGGCGGAAAGACTTATAGTTACAGTCCAGAAATGCTGCCCATCCATGGCAAGTTGCCGCCATGCCCTGTTAACTATATACATAAACTCAGCCGTTTCCACAGATGCTTGAAGTCACTCATGAAAAGTCCAAAGATACCCTGATGTATCTGGTCATTCCACACAGACCTTTAGAGTTAAAAGCAATCGTGAAAGACAAGGTGACTTACTTCCGTAGATTTTGGACTCATGTATTAGAAGCTGGCCCAAAACATTAAAAATTACTGAAGCTTTATAATACACTTTCTAATAGCACTGTGAACAATAAGATTTCCCAGTCTAGCTTTTCAATAACCAAAGAAAGACTTAGTTGAGCAGCCTGTGCAGTTCTGAGAAACACTTGTTGGTAACATGCAGCAGGTGTTAACAATTATACATACTGAGCTTTAAATTAACATTTTATTTTTTGAAATTATCTTGTTTTCCTCTTTCCTCCCTCTGACTATTCCCATGCCCCACCCCTTTCTCCTTCCTTTTCTCTACTTACAGATTGTAGTTGTGTGTCTGTGTGTGTGTGTGTGTGTGTGTGTGTGTATTTAAATGTATAGATACAATCCACTCATTCCATATAGCATTATTTGTATTAGGAGATTTCAGAGCTGAACAATTGTTGTTGGAATACCAGTTGGGCAGTTTCCTGTGGAAGAGGATTTTCTTCCACTCTCCAAAGTTTTTTGGTTGCAGGACTACTGTTATTGATGGATCAATTCAGGCTGGGCACCCCACAATCACTTGTTCTCTGCATTTTTATTGGTTGTAGTTTTCTGTTATGATCTCATTCTGTTGCAAAGAGAAATTGTTTTTGTTTGATGGTATCTGTGAGTATAAGGATACACATTTAGAGTACAGTTAGAGCCACCCGGCTCTAATTGTAGATGCCTTTAATCCCAGCACTCAGCAGGTAGAAGCAGGTGGATCTCTGTGAGTTCGAGGCCAGCCTGGTCTACAGAGTGAGTTCCAGGACAGCCTCCAACGCTATAGAGAAACCCTGTCTGAAAAAACCAAAACAAACAAAAAATAGAATACAGTTAGAAATTATGCTGCTTTCATGTTTTTTTTTTCTGAAACAGAGACACATTTATCCCAGACTGGCCTCTATCTCACTATATGTTTGAAGCTGATCTTGAACTCCTCAGTGCTGGTATTATATGTATATGCCACAAAGTGTGGATCAGTTAAATTTATTTTATATTGTTTAAAGTGGCTCTAATGAAGGAACAAGGATCTTAAGTCTCATATTGTTCATTTTTTTCTTTTCTGGAACATCTTCCTACACTAGAGGATGGCCCAGCAGCAGCCCCATCTGTCTCCATACACTCTGTGCACATTGAGACTGTTCCTTGAGTGTTTTATGATCATTAGTAGCCAACATCCTTACAGTTACTCTGTTTTCTCCTAGATTTCCCAAAGGGTGTACATGTTCGAGAGTCTAGACAAACCGTAAGAATGCCTCTGTATGTCTTCTATAGAAATACAGCTCTATTTGGGTTCCATGTCTATTATTCTTTGAAAGAGAGTTTCTTTTGTGGAGTTCGGGGATTTTCTGGTGTTACTGGCATCACCACATCCATTAAAATTGAATCACAGAAGCAGTTTCCTCAGAAATGTCTTTCCCTACTCTCTTAAGGACTGTGTGCTTGCAGTGTTAAAGGACTTGGAAAGTGCAAGGCAGGAAAAGCTCTTTCATCTCTACCAGTGTCATTCCCATCACCAGTAGGGCTATATGCCCATTGTTCCCCAGTCACTCAGCAAAAGCGAGACCATTGTAAAGTATACAGAATAGCCCGATCCTGAAAATGCTTTCTTTTTTATTATTGCAGACGGCTTCTACACTAATAGGAAGTTGTAAGTACCTGAGACCCTCCTTTGTTCAGGAAATTCTTAGTGTTTAATTCCTAAGAAGCCTGACTCAGGATTCTTATTGGGAAGAAGGGGTAAAGGTTAAATGAGAGAAAATGAGTCTGTAATAGAGACTCCATGGAAAATCCCAAGAAGAACTGGGGTTAATTTTGTGTGAGCTGGTGTGGCTTCGCCTGGTATACTCTGTTCTGATGTAATTGCAGATATAGCCGAGGTGGGAGACACAGATGTTGAAAAGCAGCAGAACATTGATAGTACAGAGACTTTTCCCGGTAAGTAACAGCATGTCCAGTTGGAATCTATAGGAGAAGACCCAGGAAACAATCGGGTTGTACCTTCTGCTTAGCAGGCTGAGGCAGTAGGAAAGGTATTGGCGAGATGGAGATTTATATGTTTCTCCTTCCATGCATAATGGTAAAGAGGGGGTAGAAGCAAAGCACACCAAACCCCACTGTCAATTAAAATGAGCTGGGGGAGTTGGAGCAATGTCTCTTTGATTAAGAGCACTGACTGCAATAACAGAGGACCATATCTGAGTCCCAGCACCCATATGGTTGTTCACAATCATGTATAACTCAGTTGCAGGGTATGTGGTGTCCTCTTCTTGTCTTGGCTGGCACTGCATGCATGTGATATATAGGCATTCATATGCAAGCAATACAGATTAAATAAACTTAAAAATAAAAATATGGGCCATGTGTTGGTGGCGCACGCCTTTAATTCCCAGCAACCACATGGTAGCTCACAACCCTCCCTTATAAGATCTGGTGCCCTCTTCTGGTGTGCAGATATATATGGAAGCAGAATGTTGTATACAAAATAAATAAATAAAATCTTTTAAAAATGAAAAAAATAATAAAAATATGGCCAGAACACTTGTCCTTCCTGCCTCTGTCACTGCCAAAGCTCCTAGCCTTTGGTTGTAGTTAGTAGTTCTCCTTGGAAACTGTGTGTATTGTGATGTATCCTGGAAAAGGGTGTACATCTGAAGCTCACTTGTGATTGGTGACTTGTGACTAAAGTAACTGTCAGTGTAGACATCTCTCTATAGTCAATGTCATAAACCTGAGTACAAAGGACTAGTAGTGTGGACCCAATAATGCAGAAGAAGCAAACCCTCTTCTGGCTGGTCCTGTGAGACTTCTAGCTATAAATCTATGTGTCTATTCAGTCTTTCTATAAAGTGAACTCTATGGGTAGATGCAGCACCTTCTGTAATCAACAAGGAACCAGTGGAAAGGTTAGGCTTATCTAGTGTGAGCTAATGTGGCTGTATCTTCTATGAACAGAAGTAAATGAGCCACTCTGATTACTTTCTTCCAGATGCTTTTGAAGTGCAGCACTGGGAGCTGAGAAAGATATCAAGTACTATAAATCCTGGTAGGTAACTGCATTGCATTCTGGGTGTACTCTGTCATGTGGGCAACGTGTCAGTTAGGATGGGGACAAAGGGAAGGATGTATGTGAACTCATTTCCAGCCTGTGCTCCTCACACTAGACTGATTGTTAGGCCAATATGTCTATAGAAATGAAGGAGCCCACTTAAATAGCCACACTATTTGCCCAGTGTTCTATCCTTTACCCAGAGCCTTCCCCACCCTCTTCCCTATTTCCTGGGTGGAATGGTCTCTGTACTTTATGCCTAGTAATTCGTAAACCTGTGCCCCTACTACTTTGTTCATGATTCTGCATACTGGGTTGCATTGCCCACATGCTGTGACCAAACCTGAACATGATTTCCTGGATTCATTCCTGTTTGGCGCCTAAATGTATTCAGTTGTCTACCCCTTCGCTTGAAATGTGGACTCAGCTTAGTCCTTTACAAAGTTCATGAGACAACCAAAATCCAAATTGGAACTGTATGCAATGGCACATTGCCCAGGAAGATGCAGTTGAGTCTTAATAGGTCATCTGATTCACACATTTTCTTGTGGAGAAGAGGTGAAGGGTTGCTCTTGCCTAGCTGAGGAAAACATGGGAGCTGAACAGTGTGAACAGGAATGCTAAGCACAACACAGTTAGCAAACAAAGCTTTGTTTGTGGTGTGAAATGAGACCCAATGGGGGCATCCACAAGTTACAAACACCAAAACAGCCCATAGAAAATTGTCCCAAACAATGTTGATAGCATGAAGGGTGCTACGTGTGGTAGCAGTCACTTACCTAGGATGGTCAACTTGATCCCTGAAAGAAATACCCAACAACATACTGTAGCTTTGTGCTACATCTTCTTCCCTATTCTGACCTATTCCTACTCTATCCCTAGTAGTCAATGTATTGTACATATCCCCACCTAAATCTTCAGATGAAGATAATAAAAGCATAAGGAAGAAGAAGAGGAGGAAGAAGAGGAGAAAGCGCTACTTTTGAAAAACAGTCTTCAATGTTGCCCCAGTGAGTACTGCATACCCAGAGGCTTCATGAAAGTAAAGGGGCAGGGGAACAGAGAAACAGAGACAGAGCCGAACAGTCTGAGCCTCCAGTTCACTTGATAGCAGAGCTTCACCACAGTAAGGAATTGCTATATCAAAGGCTTGTTCAGTTGTCAGGGGATATTGGGAGTAGAGACCTTGCTATAGGAGAGGATATGTCAGACTGCTCCATTTATTTAATGAATCCAGCATCTTGGTGGCAGCATTCACCCACCCTCCACTTAGTCTGTCTGTGACCTTCAGTGCAGGAACCTGGGGGCAATACTGTTGAAGAGGGCATGGAGGAGTGCTGTTTACCGGCTTGCTCCTCATGGCTTGTATAGCCAACTTTCTAATAGAACCCAGTATCGCCAGCCTGGGGATGGCACCACACATAATGGTGTGGGCTCTCCTCCATCAATCACTAATTCAGAAAATGTCCTACAAGCTTGCCTGCACTATAGTCTTGTAGGGGCAAATTCTCAAATGAGACTACCTTCTCCCAGATGACTTTAAATTGTGTCAGCTTAACATAGACCTAGGCAGGACTGGATGCATCAGGATGGAAGGCAATTCATAGGTCAGGTCAGGTACCCTACAAACTGTTATGTTGGGGAGCAGGGTTACTTGTGGCAAAGCATATATGAGTGGCATTAAGAGAAAGGGGTGGAAAGGTGAGGCTGAGAGATAAGAAACCTGACCAGTCCACATTCAGTAACAACTTTTACAGGGGTGAGGAAACTTGCTGGAGAGAGAATAATTGTCCAAGAACTCTCTGCACTTTGAGGTAGCAAGGTCCCAAAGGCCTGTGGTGCCATCCAGGTCAGAAACCACAACTCTGTCTTGCCAGGGGCTTCTTCATGTATGAGTTACTAGAGGCATTGAGAGTAGAACAGAGACACACAGGAGATGAGGCCACATTTAGGAAAAGTGCATCCCAGGCCAAGGGGACCATTCACATAGGAAAGTCCTCAGGAAATGGATGTTCGCAGACTATGATTACACCATAGAAATAGCTTGTACATGGTATTAGTTTGTGTGTGTGTGTGTGTGTGTGTGTGTGTGTGTGTGTGTGGTGTTTTATTGTTTGGTTGATTGTTTTATACAGGGTCTCACTATGTAGCTCAGGATGGCCCACAACTCAGCGTAATCTGGCCTCTAACTCTCAAACCTCCTAAATAAACTTCTCCAATATTGAGATTACATGCATTTCCTTCCAGAGTTTAGGCTCTGTAATCCAAGAATTCCAACCTTAGGTAATGGTCACAATCCTTAAGATCAAAACAGTTTGTTGAATGTAACTTAAACTCTGTCACAGTTGAGAGTTCCTATAAGGAGATTTAAGCTATATGGCCCAGACCAATATGGGCTACCTTTTATTTTCTTATTCATCATTTGGCCCTACTATCTCCTTCTGGTGATGCCACATGCTGGTTTACATCATTTCCCCCATTAAGATTCATCCTGTAGGCAGTTTACACTGGGCACAGCAAGGTGCGCAAAGTTGATAATATATAATTTCCTGGGAGACATGGTGACACATGCCTGTAAACCTTGCAATCTGGGGGGCTGAGGCAAGAGATTTTTCAGGCAAATTCAGATGACATGCCAAGTCCTTATCTCAGTAAGCTTACAAAAAATGTGTGCAACTTTCAAAATATGCAAGAGAACTTTTGTGTATATATCAAATTAATATATCATAGATATTGTCTGAATTATTTTTTTACTCTTAACAATATAACCAGGAATATGTCATGTCCATGTTAAATAACACAGGTACTTGGATAGTCATAAACAAATTTGAGAGTTAAATATTAGGACAAATTTGCTAAATTGGAAATGGAAAATGTCCAACAACCTATAAATCATTGGCGTTCTATGTTCTATTGATATAAATTAGTTTAGATATTCCTGAACAAAAATCATCTAGGTAAAGAGTAAATTCAATTAGTCTGCAACTGTTAGTTCAAACTAACCAGTTAGACAATCAAAAGTCACTCCTCTGATCTGGACTATATGTATAATACAGGAAGGCTGTGTCTTCTAGTCTTTGGCCACATTCCCATTTCAGGTATGTTTTTTGTGATTGTGAATCATCTCCAGAAGGTATGTCTTGGTGTAAGAAACAGTTCACTGGGGGTGGTCTTTGTTATTTCCATAGATGCAGCATGGATGTCCATTAAACATAATCCGGGCTGGAGAGATGGCTCAGAGGTTAAGAGCACTGGCTGCTCTTCCAGAGGTCCTGAGTTCAATTCCCAGCAACCACATGGTGGCTCACAACCATCCGTTATGAGATCTGGTGCCCTCTTCCGGTGTGCAGATATACATGGAAGCAGAATGTTGTATACATAATAAATAAAATAAAATCTTAAAAAAAAAAACATAATCTCCTCTTTGACTTTGATCTGCAAAATGAAGACTTAGCTATTATTTCCTGTCCGGTTTTCACATGCAATTATAAGCTATCTCAGAAGAGTACATGACAAGAAATTTAAAGCTACACCAACTGTATTGGTTACTTTTCATCTTCTTCTTACAAAAGCAACTGAGGTAGGTTTTGCCTAGTTTCAGAGGACATAAGCCATCATGGTCATGGGTGAGTATATCAGCAGGTCACTTTGCATCTGTACTTAGGAGCGGTGAAAGAGGAATGCTTGTGCTCATTTGATGTCATAGTTTTACCCCTTTTTACTCAGTGCTCTACACCAGCCCATGACATGGTGCTGCCCTCACTGACAGAAGATCTTCAGTTCCCTTAAACAGACATGCCCTGAAGTCTGTCTCCTAATAGATTCTAAACCCATCAACTAGAGAAGGAATGTTAGTGATCACATCAACACTCATAGTTGCCCAGAGTTTTGAAAGTGGGACATGGAATGTGGGAATGGACATGGAAATTTCCAATACTGAAACTGGGGAAGAACTTTGAAACTGGGAAAGAATGTCACACTTCTTCCATCCTGAGACTACATAGCAAATCCCAAATACTTTCTCCCATCTATATGACCTATAGATAAGACTGAATTCTTCTTTTCCTCAGGGCCTCTAATTTCATTCTGTTGTGCCCAAGTCTCAAAGACCCCCAGAGACTACCAAGGAGACAGACCCACCAAACTGCAAACACAGGCTTTATTGTTTAATCCTACCAGCAGGGACTCCATCTAGCAGGCTGATGCAGCAGCCTCCAGAAGGAGCAAAATCCCTTGTCTATTGCCAAAATTTAAAGGAAAATATCACAGAATTACATCAGTAGGTATGGGTCAGATCCTGATTGGTTGACATTTGGGGAACAATTAGGAGAATTTCTCAGAGTCAAGGCAACTGTTTTGTTAGTATTTTTGATTGGTTGGCTACAGATGGGAGCATTAGTGGTTTCTATGGCTTTGTCTATTACTCACGGGTAGCCTGTTCTCATTGGTTGGTACTGGGAGGGAGCATTCTGTGGTTTCTCTGTCTCTTGGATGTGGTTTGTTATCAAAGACAGTATCCAGATACTTACTAAGTCTAAGAGGAAGGCTGTCTTGGGAGTTTTGTTCATAACACAAGAAGTAGAGGCTAGGGGACTGGATTTGTTTTGAAGGCTTTACATTTATATAGTTTCTCTCTAGTATGAATAATAAGAAATGAATGGAACGTAAGGCTTTGCCACATTTATACAATTTCTCCCCAGTGTGATTCATTAGAAGTGAAGCCTTTGAGTTTAGTTTACCTCTTTCAGTTCCAACGTATGACCACCTTAGGTCACATGGGGCAAAGCCAAGCTTTGTATTGTTGAATTCAAGACTATCTCTGAGAGCTTGTCACAACCAATTAAATGAGAATATCTAAGATATTCTAATAAGTACTCAATCAATTGTATCCAAACCAAATAGGAAGACAGACTCACTTGAATGTAAATCTAGGGGCTATGACCATTTCAATATTTTTAGCTTTTTATCAGGGAGGTGTCCTAACAAATTTTTTATAGATATCTAACAGCTGATATGGATTGTAAGTAGAAGAAATGATTGTGCTGAGGCTAAACCTTCTTACCTGGGTAATTAACACAGAATATGAACTCACATTAAGTTCTAGATCAGCCCTTGTGATGATTGGTTGTAAGTTTGACTATATATGTGAAATTAACTAATACCCAGGAAGCTGTGATTTTTCTTGCGAGTAGTTTTTGATTAAATCATTTGAAGTGAACATACCCAACAAATCCTGATCTTTTGATATGTGAGGATCCACCTTAAAACTTGGACATACCTTATGATCCAGCATAGAAAAAGGATGTGTGGAATAGAGGGAGAAAATGATGTAATTTTACTTCAACTAACAACACATTGGGGAAAAGGGATAAAAGGAGGTATCCAGGTGCAAAGCAATCAACTGTCCCTGTCAGATATTGCAGGTTCTGCCTGGTAGAGGTGCACACCCTTAATCCCAGCACTTCAGAGGCATAGTCAGGTGGATCTCTGTGAGTTCCAGGCTAGCCTGATCTACAGAACTAGTCCCAGGAAAGCCAAGGCTACACAGAGATAATCCAGTCTTTGGAAGAAAATGTTGCAGGTTTTGAACTGATTCACATCCATATTACCACACAACTGGAGATGGAGGAATTCTTGATCTCCAATTCCACTATACACTGTTGGAACTGAAACAGAATGATATATATGGAATGGATTTTTTTAAGAACAGAAAGGTGAGTATGTAGGGAAAGAGGACTAGTATGGAAGGAGTTGAAGTTGAGGTGAATATGATCAAAACAAGTTCTACAAAATGTCAGAGATCTATTAAGAATTCTATAAGGTTGATATTTGCTAAAATCAAAGATTGTTGACATTGTCATTTGTTAAATTATCAAGAGGAGGATAGAAGCACAGTGCAAAATATTTAGATACAGTGAAATACAGTAGGAAAAGTAATAACCCTTTATTTTGCAAGGTCTTACTGTATATCCTAGGCAGGCCTTACATTAAAAATCCTCTTGCTTCAGCAGAT